GTTATACCAACAAGCACTCATTCGAGTTCAAAGGTCGCAAAATTACCCTCCTACCTCTCACGCCTACCGAGATTTACCAGGATCAGATCCAGATGAAGCTCAAGGAGAAGGAGAAAGTCGCCAACAGCCTCTACATAAACCACAGTGAATTTTCTAAACTCTTTGATCCTGAAATGACTACTTTTATGTTTGTGTACAAGGAATCCCTTGTTAGTACTAACCCTTCACAGGAGCTTCCTAGTGCTATGTTTGAGATTTTGCAGGAATACAAGGACGTTTTTCCAGTAGAAATTCCACCAGGGCTACCTCCAATTCGCGGGATAGAGCATCAGATTGACTTGGTACCAGGATCAGCCTTACCTAACAGGCCAGCATACCGAACCAATCCTGTAGAGACTAAGGAGCTGCAGAAGCAAGTGGAAGAGCTGATGAGCAAGGGACATATCCGAGAAAGCTTGAGTCCATGTGAGGTTCCAGTTCTGTTGGTGCCAAAGAAAGATGGTTCCTGGAGGATGTGTGTAGACTGCCGAGCTATCAATAACATCACCGTGAAGTATAGGCATCCGATTCCAAGACTAGATGATATGCTGGATGAGCTCTGTGGATCGACAATCTTCTCGAAGATAGATTTGAAGAGTGGGTATCATCAGATCAGAATGAAGGAAGGGGATGAGTGGAAGACGGCGTTCAAGACAAAGCAAGGACTCTACGAGTGGCTAGTTATGCCGTTTGGCCTCACCAATGCGCCCAGCACCTTCATGAGATTAATGAATCATGCCCTGAGACCATTCATTGGCGTGTTCGTAGTGGTTTATTTCGACGATATCCTCATCTACAGTAAAGGTTTGGAAGAACATCTAGATCACATCAGATCGGTTCTTGATGTTCTTCGCTCTCAATCTCTCTTTGCTAATTTATCTAAATGTTTATTCTGCACTAACGAAATTGTTTTCTTAGGCTTAGTAGTAAGTGCAGGAGGAGTTAAAGTAGATGAAGAGAAGATAAAAGCTATCAAGGAGTGGCCAACCCCCAAGAATATTGGAGAAGTCCGAAGTTTCCATGGTTTAGCAGGATTCTACAGGCGTTTTGTTCGTGATTTCAGCACCATAGCCGCGCCCTTAACAGAAGTGATCAAGAAAGACGTGGGGTTCAAGTGGGGAGAGGCGCAAGAACAGGCTTTTACAGCCCTTAAAGAGAAGCTTATCAATTCGCCCTTACTAGTACTTCCTGATTTTACTAAGATGTTTGAGATTGAATGCGATGCTTCTGGTGTAGGTATTGGCGCAGTTCTTATGCAGGATAAGAAGCCCGTCGCTTACTTCAGCGAAAAGTTAGGAGGATCAACGCTGAATTATCCCACGTATGACAAGGAGTTGTACGCATTGGTTCGAGCTCTCCAGACGTGGCAGCATTACCTATGGCCTAAGGAGTTCGTCATTCATACCGATCACGAGTCTCTAAGCACCTCAAGGGTCAGCAGAAGCTTAACAAACGACATGGGCGATGGATGGAGTTCATTGAGATATTCCCCTACATTGTTAAGTACAAAAAAGGTAAAGATAATGTGGTCGCAGACGCATTATCCCGGAGGTACACTCTTATTTCGACTTTAACATCAAAGTTGATTGGATTTGAGCACATTATAGATCTCTATGAATCTGATACTGACTTTTCTGAGAGCTATGCCAAGTGTCATAAGTTTGCCTGTGAGAAATTTTATAGACAGGATGGATACTTGTTCTTCAGCAACCGATTGTGCATACCACGACGATCCATTCGAGAGTTACTGGTACGAGAAGCTCATGGAGGTGGATTAGCTGGACATTTCGGTGTCACAAAGACACTTCTTGGGCTACAAGAGCACTTCTACTGGCCGAACATGAAGAAAGACGTTGAGAAAATCTGTTCTAGATGTGTCGTATGTAAGATGGCTAAGAGTAAAGTTCAACCTTACGGTTTGTATACTCCTTTGCCTATTCCTTCTCAACCTTGGACTAATATCTCTATGGATTTTGTAGTTGGCTTACCACGAACCAGAAATGGTAGAGATTCTATTTTTGTAGTTGTTGACAGGTTTAGCAAGATGGCTCACTTCATCGCTAGCCACAAGACAGATGACGCTGTGAATGTAGCTAACTTGTTTTTCAGGGAAGTAGTGAGACTGTATGGAATGCCACAGGTTATCGTTTCAGATCGAGACACGAAGTTCTTAGGACATTTTTGGCGAACGCTTTGGGCTAAGCTGGGAACAAAGCTCTCATTCTCAACTACGTGTCATCCTCAGACCGATGGACAGACCGAGGTGGTGAATAGAACGTTGTCCACACTTCTAAGGACTTTGGTGAAAAGTAACCTCAAGACATGGGAAGAGTGCCTGCCTCATGTCGAGTTTGATTACAATCACGCTAAGCATTCTGCTACTCTCTTTTCTCCTTTTGAAATTGTATATGGGTTTAATCCACAATCACCTCTAGACTTGATCCCTTTGCCTTTAAGTGGAAAATGCAGTTTGAATGGCAAGGAGAAAGCTGAACAGGTCCGAAGAATACATGCTAAGGCTAAGGAGAACATCGAGAAGAAGACAAAGCAGTATGAGAAGCATGCCAACAAAGGACGAAAGGAGCTGATTTTCGAAGAAGGAGATCTGGTGTGGATCCATCTGAGGAAGGAGCGATTTCCAGCTGAGCGAAAGAACAAGCTAATGCCCAGAGTTGATGGACCATTCGCAGTCATCAAAAGAATCAACAACAACGCCTATCAGATTGATCTTCAAGGTAAGTATGATGTTTCTGATACTTTCAATGTTTCTGACTTGCTTCCTTTTGTTGCAGATTCAGATTTGAGGGCAAATCCTTTTCAAGAGGGAGAGGATGATATGATCGTGACCAGCTCAGAGGAGGAGGAACCAGAGGTAGCTGGCAGGATCACTCGGTCCAGAGCTAGAGAGATGGCTAAGGAGGCTCACGCACTCATTGCCACAGAGGACAGCGATCACCAGGAGGCTGGAGCTCACATCTTCAACATCTCTATCTTGAGGAATGAAGAACCCAGTAACAATGACTAGGTAACTTAGGTGATGATTCTGTACTCTTTTCCTTGGTGAGGATTTTGGAAGGCAAGGAGGTTCTTCTCCAAGGTTTTTAACGAGGCAGAAATCATTGCTACGTCGAGTTACTTAGAAGTTGTTACTAATGGGTAATAATGTGCAAAGTCACAATGACTTGTGCACTTAGTATTTTGGCGCACCACTTAGGAATTTAGGGACGCCTCGCTGTTTTATTTTTAAATTAAACTTCTTGTTGTTTTATTTCAAACTCCATGTAGTTTTGTTATTAGGGCTGCGATTTTCTCTCTTAGTCTATAAAAAAGAGAAAATCGCCTAAGTGTTAGGCAGTGAAGAATTTTGATCAAACTTTTAACGTGTTCTTCTCTCTTGATTTCTGAGAACTAAAAACTCTGAAATTCGAATCTCTTAAAACTAATCTGTTTACAAGAGATTCTTCTATCCCTCCATTCCATCGAATCCATTCATCATACTTCCATCATCATCCATTCGATTATCTCACTACCACCACCACCCCATCGAATCGATCTCTCCATCATCTCCATCATCGATTCCTTCGCGACGAGCCACACGCACCACCATATCGAGTCTCCAACTCGATCCGCCAGCCACCATCGTCTCTCATCGTTTCGACCATCATCATCAAGTCACCACCACCATCATATCGCTGCATCTAATCCTCTTTGCTTCAGAGTTGATCACCTAGGATCGTATCAAATCTGATCCAGATGCTTGGTGACACGAAAATGTTCATCCGGTGTCAGATCTAGTTTGGGAGAGCAAAACAAACATAGGAGTGGAAACCTACCTATGGGCGATTTGTGAATGCTGACGAGTCTTAAACATAATGCACCTCTTCTTTTCCAGGGCCAGAGTGGAAACCTACTGGTCAGGGTTGAGAGAGATAGTTGTCTATGATCACGACAGTGGCGTATTCATACGTCCGTGACTCCAGTTCGAAAATTTTAAGCTAAGATCTTATCAAATTTACTCTCTAGCAATGTTTTGAATCGTTCGTACCCCTGAGAAAACTTCCCTGAACCCCAGCGCCTCTTTTCTTATAGATTTACACCGATTTTCATTCAAGCTTTAATCTAGTTTCTTTACTCTTTCTATCGATTTTCACTTAGCAATTAAGTCTAGCCGTTTTTCTTGTTTTTACCCTTTTTCGTTAAGTTTAGTTATTAGGTCATTTTAATTCCCGTAGTTTCTCTTTAAAATTCGTTTTTAGGTTTTAAACACACCACCAAAACCCTCACAAAACTCGCCTGGTTCTAGACTTCCTTACTTTATATTTCTTTCGAAGGCTTTTGCAGGAAAGATCCTCCTTCCCTGTGGATTTGATCCCTAAGTACTACAATCGATCAGCTGTGCACTTGCGGCTATTGATTTCATTTAGGGTAAAACTTGACACCCTCATGACACACCACATCAGTAGTGAGGTTGAGGAGAAAACGCGTAATGATGAGGAAAACCAACCGCCAATACAACCGCTGAGTATGTATTTTAGTCCAAATCAGTACAACAAGGCAATAAAGTTAGGTACTCGGTGTTGGATCCACAAAGCAGTGGAGAATCTGGAGTCGCCGTCACTGGGACTGAGACCCGAGGAGGTAAGATGGTTTAGCGAGCATCCTAAATTCAAGCACTTCTGGCATATTCACAAGGCCATGTATTTGGATACAACCCATAAGACTCAGGGGTTGTGGATGCTACTTCTACGCACAGCAAAGACAAACAAGAGGAGAAAGTGTTGGTTTGTTGTTAATGGAGTTCCAATTCGGTATTCGCTTAAGGAACATGCACTCATATCTGGATTAGACTGCCATGATTATCCAAAGAATTATGAGAAGATGGGCATTAGTGATTTTAAGGAGAAGTATTTAAGAAAGGAACTGTCCCTGCACTTGCTGTTGTTAAAGAGAAGCTTGAAAAGATGCGTGGTGGTCCTGATCGCTTAAGAATGTGTGTTTTGTACTTTCTAGCAAGCGTGTTAGGTGGTAAGGCTAAGACGGGGAAGGGAGCTCCCTCGGTAGACCCTTTATTCTTGAGGATGGTAGAAGATCTCGATGCGTGTAGAACATTTCCTTGGGGGAGGTTATCATTTGAGGCAAATCTAAAGGAAATTGAACATACATTGAGGCACTTCAATGGGGTCGTCGAAACCGATTCTTGGACGTTTCCTGACTTTGTTACTCCCTTGGAGTTGCTACCTTTTGAAGCAATACCTTGTTTGAAGGACACATACAGAGAAGAAGCTAAAGGAGCAGACATAGAGTGTCGTCGGATGTGTAAGATAAAGTTCAGACCATTCACTCTCAAAGGATTTCCTCTGTCGGACCTCTACGAAACACTCGGTAATACCAAAGATATCCAGAGTATCTTGGAACCATCTGCTGATGAGGAATATATGTTAGCAGATGTCATGGAAAGGTATGAAGACCCAGATAACAGTGATACAATTCCTGATACTTGGACGAGTCGTATAATTGATGATGGGAAGCCGATATTCTGGAAGGATATGAGCTTGTACGATGAAAAAAACCGAGTTGAACCAGCGAAGAATGCATCCTCTAAATCTCCAGCGCCGAGTGGGATTGTGGACCAGATTCAAGGGTTGAAGAAGAGTATGGATGAGCAGTTCCAACTAATGAGAGACCAAATCAATGGCATGGATATTAGATTGAAGTCCGTTGAATCTTATGTGAAAGAGGCAATTCGAAGTGAATGTCTTGGAGAAGAGAAGGAAGGAGAAGAACAAGGTGATGAAGGAGAAGAACAAGGTGATGAAGGAGAAGAGGGAGAAGAAGGAAAAAAAGGAGAAGAAGAGAATGAAGAAAAAGTTGAAGAGAACGAAGAAGTTGGAGGAGAGGTTGCAAAGAAGGAAAAGAAGAAGACGAAGACGAAGGCAGCGGTTGTCAGAAAGTATTTGACCAGACAACGGTCTGGAATTCAGGTATTATTTGGTAGTAATAGGTATTAGTTGATACTAATAGGTAGAACTATAGTATAAACCACATATCTTTGTTACCATGTAGGAACAATCTGGTGTTTCAGTCGAGGAAGGGGAGGTGCAGCATGAGAAGAAGAAGAAGAAGAGTAGGAATTAACAGTCCCAGATGTTCACTCTTTCATGCTGTCGATTTGAATTTATGGTTTTTTTAAGAACTAAATTGTGGGATCGTGTTGTTTGCAAAATTTAAATTTATTTTGAGGATATTGGTTTGTTATTGTTATAAGAATCGGTTTATATTTAATTAGAGAATTTCGGTTTGGTATTACTCGGTTTAAAATATTGTTCCTCTTTGGTTGTCGGGTAACTGTCTTGTCGTTATTAAATTATGTTATCTAAAAGGAAACGATGCGTGTGGGAATAGAGAAAGGCAGCATTTGTATAGTGAGAGAAATCCCATAGTGAGACGACGCCATTAATGCATGCCACTGCTTAACTTCTTCTTCTATAAATACCACACCCTCGCCTTCTCATAACACCATCGCAGAGAAAAAAACATTCCCTAAACGTCAAAAAAATAAATCTTATCTTTCCCTTCGCTAACTCAAAACCCTAATTTCCCCAAATGGCCCACTTTGCTCACAACATTCGTCCGGCGTCATCAACACGTCCCGAGTACTGGATGCGCCGATACCTGCTTGACCTCCAACGAAACCCGTCGCCCATATACTCCGCCGGGGTGGAGGCGGAGGACGTGTATGTGTGGACGGCGACCATCACCGGTCCGCCGGGAACTCCCTATGAAGGGGGTGTTTTCTTTCTCTGTATCATCTTCTCTCAAGATTTCCCCTGGAAGCCACCGAAGGTGCACTTCCGGACCCCCATCTTCCACCCCAATGTGAGCCATCGTGGCAACATCTTCCCTCCGATGCTCATGCCTGATACGTGGTGCATCGCGACATCTGTGGCTCAGATGCTGATGAGTCTGGCCCAAATGCTATTGCATCCGCTGGTGGCGGAAGGCGACGTCGTGAGGGAGGAGGTGGCGGTGATGTACCGGGAAGACAGGGCAAGCTACGAGGAACTCGCACGTAGCTTCACCAAGATCCACGCCATGGATGGTTAACATAACATCCATGGCGGAAAAGACTCTAAATAATTGTGTTTTTTTATGTATGTTTTTAGTTTTCGTTGAACTTATTATTATGTTTTCTGTATGTTTATATTATGTTTTTATTTGTTTATTAATATTATTATGTGTTTTTTTTTGTGATTAATGGAAATATTTCACAAACTTTTGGGTCTCGTAACGTTGACGTTTTAATAACCTACATGCAACCCTTACATCTGATAAGACTTGGTAGTTGGACCAGTTTTACATCGAGAATCCGCAATCATTTATAGCCCCAATTATACTGGTTACGCGTGAAGACGTCATCAAGCAGACGCCTCTTTTTTTATTTATAATGGATAAGCGTAAATCACGGGAATTTATTATCTTATTTAAAGTAATTATTCTTTAAAATAACTGAGGTTAAACCAAAAATTACAAACGAAGATATCCAAAATTCTAAAATCAAAAACTGAAAACCAAAAACAAATGTGAAAAACTGAATACAAAAACCTACATCGTCTTTGCATCCTACAAAGCCTAATTTTGTTCAGGAAAAAAAAACAAGATTACAAGTATAAGCATGAGCAATCAACGCCAATCAACGCTTTATACTTGTAATCATGTTTTTCTTGTCTGAACAAAGATTAAACCTTTTATATCCCAGTCTGCAACATCAGGTGACCAAACTCGCCTGACCAAACTTTGACTCGCTGATCTGACTCTTCATCAAGTGAAATACCCTTCCTTCTTGCTTTTATGGTGTAAGTACGATGGGTATTTCATCTGATGAAGATTCTGAGATCAGCGAGTAAGAGATTGATGATTATTTTCAGGTTTATGTGTTTTTGAAGGATGACATTTCTCCAGGGTAAGATCTGACTCACTGATCTGACTCTTCATCAGATGGAAATACCCATCCTTCTTGCTTTTAAGGTGTACGATGGGTTTTTCATCTGATGAAGAGTCTGAGATCAGCGAGTAAGATATTGATGATTATTTTAGGGTTTATGTGATCTCCAGGGTAAGATCAAGAATATATATATATATATATACTCAAGAAGAGGATGAGTAAAGGAAGCAGTTAGATTCAATGAATAAATTGTTTTTCGAATAGTCGTGTTTCAATGAATTTTATAATCCCATTTTAAATAGATTAATAATGATAACCAACGCCTCAATTTTCTTTTAATACCCCACTACTCATTTCATTTAATTCATTGTAACATCTATTTATTCTCGACTTGTCAGAAACCCTAATTTTAAATAAATTGTCTGTTCATCAAGTGAACTCTCTCAAAATGGCACGGCCACATCTTCTTGAGATATGTTTCCTTTTTTTTTTCTTATTTTGTACTTTTGTTTTCTTATTTTGTACTTTTGTTTTTTTTTATTTTGATATTTTCACTTAATTTGTATTTGCAATGATATCTCTGTTATTCACTTTTCCAACATTAATTATTACTTGGAATAGAATTTTTTATTTTATTTTCAATACATTAATGATAATAAATGATATCGTTTACCAGGCTTGGTAGTTGTACCAGTCTTACATTATAATTGTAGTGCGTACAGGCGTCACCAACCACCGCCCACTTATCCTTAAATACCCTAGTCTCCTTCTCATTTCATCACCCCAACCTTTCATTTCCTTTTAGAAAAAACCGCTTACTTATCCTTCTCGATATGAAACCCTAAGATCGTACAAAAAGTGGTTGATGAGAAGATGAGCAACTTAGGAGACTGAGCAAAAATTTGGGGGAAAAATCCAAACACCAGTCTCCTAAGTTGTTTATCTTTTTCATCCACCACTTCCTGCACCATCTTAGTAAGGATCCACTCAGATCGCCTTGTAATTCAGGTAAGTATTACGAAACTAATTCTTTAATATGTGAAATAACCGTACATTATGAAGAAACCCTAAATAATAGAATTCGTTATAATTGTTTACATGGGGTTAATTCGTCCAGGGCAAATTTATTTAAGAAATTATAAGTTCTGGTACAATTTGGTATAATAAGGCCCAACTACGTTCAACTTGAGGAAATTTAAATCTCTGGTGAAAATTGGTATAATTCGGCCCAACTACGTGTAACTATGGTAACCCATAAAATCTGGTACTGTTTTGTATAATTCGGGCCAACTACGTGTAACTTTGGTAAACCATAAAATCTGGTACTATTTGGTATAATTCGGTCCAATTACGTGTAACTTTGAGAACCCTTAAAATCTGGTACTAATTGGTATACCCAACTACGTGTAACTTTGGGAACCCATAAAATCTGGTACTATTTGGTATAATTCGGCCCAACTACGTGTAACTTTGAGAACCCTTAAAATCTGGTACTAATTGGTATAATTCGGCCCAACTACGTGTAACTTTGGAAATCCTTAAAATCTGGTACTAATTGGTATAATTCATCCCAACTACGTGTAACTTTGGGAACCCATAAAATCTGGTACTATTTGGTATAATTCGGGCCAACTACGTGCAAATTCTTGAAATTATAATAAGTAGTACAAATTGGTATAATATAGCCCAACTAAGAGTACTTGTCAAACCATAACTCGGTAAAATTAAATTATCAGAAATTAAGGATAAGATAACTTCTTAGTCTGTGAATGAAATAATCTGGGAATTAAACAAGGATTCATTAAACAACAGGATTGTTAAAGAACAACGACATTGTTAAAGAAATGTATCAGTTCTACACATTAAACCCTAACCCGCCAATACACCTTTCAGCTTTGCAATCTCTTCAGCATTGTTGTTCAGCTCCATGCGCATTTGCTTGATTTGAAATTCATGGTTTGACATTTTCGCAATCCTCGAGCGCAGGTCCTTAATCTCACATTTTAGCCTAGAAATCTCATCATCGATAGCGTGATCCCATTTTACCCTAAAGTGGTAGCCGTCGTTCTACACAACAATTCATAAACTTAAACCTTATACACTCAACCAAGGAATTTTAAATCAAGCTAAAACCAGAAAATTAAAGTAATTCAAACCTTATACACTTTTGCAGGTGTAGTATCTCTTTCCTGGATCTTCAGAAATCTCCTGGATGATTCCTCCACCACATGGACAAACTGTTGGAATCCCAAACTCTGCATCGGCTACGTGGTAGAGGCGGTCGATAAGCTTCTTGTTTCTCTTCTCGTCGCTGTAGGTCGGGTCCATAGTCGCTGTAGCAAAGGAAGTTCACAAATTTGAAAGAGAGAGAGGAGTGTCCCAAGAGAGAGACACATAATAGAAATATGTGAAATGAAATTCAAAATGGGGGGGGGGAAGTGGGGGGAAGTTCGAATTATGCTGAATTTGGGTATTGGGAGGAAATTCAAATTTGAATTATATTACAACTGAGAAAAAGGGAAATATAATATTATTTAAGTATTACACGCAGAAAATGGGGCCGTCCCTCATGTGTGGAATTCGCTCACTTGCCGCCGCCAATAGCTAATATCCAATAACGCGTGGACACATGTCATTTCTTCATATGAGGTTTGATACGTTTTTGTACGTAGTATGCCAGTTATACACACTCTCAAGTAGTTGTACATTTCCGATTTTAACCAAAAAACTAGTTTTACTTATATTAAATATGTAATTATGTAGTTGAACTTTTCACAAGTACTACTTAATTTGTTGCCCCATCATGTTCATGTAATCAGATTTCGTTTTCGCTTTTTTACGTTCTGTTCGATGCCTTATGTGGTTACTCATCGTGAACTCTTCATAGAACTATGATGTGTATTATGAGAAAACTTGTTTCAAAGTTCAAAGATTTATAAATTGCTTATTTTGGCTAGTTTAAATGTTAATCATAACATAACTATGCATACAATCTACGAGAATGTAATCGATTTCTTATAATTTGGTGTATATGAAATCGATTTCATGGTTATTGTAATTTGAGATTGGTTTACCGAACCGATAAATACCGCAACATAGAACCAAAACAGAATGTATTCATATATTTTAATAATATATTAACTGAGAATGTCTGAAAAAGGTATCTGATAAAGGTATAGTCATCTACTCCACT